GACTAGCTGACTTAAACACTCAGCCCCAGTTGCTTCTGGATATTTCGGTTCTTTATTGAAATGGTCCCTTTAATGTCGTCTTTAATTTAATCAAATAGTGTCATCAAAATAACATTTACTCTATTACTGCAAATTCACTGCATTATTAACTAGTGTAACTAGACAAAAAAGATGGTACAAACCCCCATGGAAATATATACTTACTGTAAAAATGGATACAGTTCATAGAGGTTCTATATTTAATTTGCAGTTTCAAAGTACTCTCTATGGAGAGGTTTTATGGTTCTGAAATAATTTAAAAACACACTTTACTACAATCCATAGCAGGTAGTTTTTGCCAATTTGGGAAGTTATGGTGCCTTGTACTTTCCAAAGTACCCAGACTGCATTTTTAACAGTGATGTGCCTCTCTCTCATGAGAAATGGGGCTCCTTCCTCACACCACAGGTGGGTACCACCAAGGACTCACTGGTTTCTTTGTACCTCCCAACAACCCAAATGTAAGTAACATGTTATTGGCAGGGATCCTATCAGGTTGGTAAAAAGAAAATACCAATGCATCAATGCCACTTTGGATAGTTTGATCAGAAAACAGGTCATGCTTGGGGCAGGAGATGAAGGATTAGAGGGTTATGGAATTTTAAAATTCTTTCTTCAATGCAAGAGCAAAACATGGACAGGGAGGACAAGAGTTCTGGGCTCATGGTGTTGAATAAGTTATTTGCTAAGCCTTCCTTTGCCCATCAGTGAAAAGAGGAAGTTCTATGACAGTGAAACACTATCAAATAATCTAATATTTTTAAATGTTTGTCTACCCACTTTCTCTTGAGATCAATAATGCCATTTCCCAATTGATTTTTTTTTATCAGAATTTGCCACTAGCTATTTCTTTGTACAGTGGGAAGGTAAAATATACACAGAGCATCTTTATTTCAAGATTTTCATTCTTCTCCCTACCAAGAAATTCTATTCTTAGAAGGACATTGGATAGACTTAGAAATAAGAATATTGAACTAAAGCCAGTTCTTTTCAAAAGGCATATATTTTTTTACCTGTTGCTGTCCCCTCCACCAGCCAAGTACTATGCCAGGTCCTGAGAAAATAAATACAGATAAGTTCCAGGTCTCTGTCTTGTGGAACTTAACATCAAGTTGAGGACACAAACATGCAAAAAGAATGATAAAATAACTCAGGTGCTCTAATAGAAGCCTTTACAGGATTAACTCTTCATATGGCCATCTGTCCATCTGGCCATCCATCCATCCTTCCACCCGTTTAACTGCCCATTCTTCTACCCCTACTTTCATTTATTCTCCATCCCCCATCGGCCTCCCCCCAGGATGTCAGAACCATCAGTGCTGAATCTCAGTGCAATAGGAAAGCACATGTTTTGGTTGAAGATCCAGAATGTGCAGAATGACGTGGAGATCCAGATGCTGATGAGACTCCATACAAATATGACATCGAAGCGGCTAGAAGCCTCCCCAAGGCCAGATGTACAGACTGATGCATCTGAGATTGGGAGGATGGGCTCCCTCTGTGGTTCCCAACCCCACTGTGATCATCCAAGGAATGGTGAAAAAAATCCTGAAGTGTGGGGGTTCATCCTCTGGGGAGTCTTATTCAGGTGGGTTAGGGTGCAGCCTGGGCATCAGGATTTTGAAAAACTCCCTAAATGATTCTAATTTGCAGCTAAAGTTGGGCATAAAGGATGTGTGTGAGGGGCAGTCTTTCTGGATGATGAGTACCAGCGGTGTCTGCACCTTAGGTGTGTCAGTTAGTGGGTATATGGTGCATGGCAGGGACAGACTAGTTGAACGGAACACTGGTTAAGTCAAATGTCATAGAGATGAGAGACAAAGGAGTATGTTGTTGCGCAGAGACTAGACTGGGGCAGCAAGATCAATTCCTGCCACCCGTGTTTTTTTGCAGAGAATCACTAATGCAATGTTTGACCCCCAATCTAGCCATGAGTTAGGTAACAGATAAAAAAATACCCCTGCCTCTGACTAGGAGTGACAGAACATTATAGGGCCAGGGCTTCCTAGATTTCATTAAAGTGCTTGTCTTGTGGTACATTAAAAGCAAGTCAGTATTGGTTGCTGAGTGACTGGCTGACGGTACTCATGCTTCAGTTATCTTATTTGTTCTCGAACAGCCTCAATACTTAAAGTGAAAGGAGACTGTTACCCAATGGAAATCAGTCACTTGCTTTAGGTGGAAGGCATCAGAAATTGCAACGACTGTCTCATTTTGTCACATTCTTACTAGAAAAGGACGTATATCCATGATTTAGCAGGAATTTATTGAGTCAGGCGCTGTCAGGCACAGAATAGATCCAGTGGTGAGAAGGAGAAAAATGGTCTCAGCTTTTTAGGATCTTGCTATCTGGAGGGGACAGAGAACTAAATAAGGAAACACAATACAGTACTACAATCATAGTAATTCCGCATGTCGTCGGTCCCTGGGTGTCGGACTCTATGACAGAGGTAAATAGCAGTTAATTCAAAAGGAGCAGTTAAAGCTCTGGGACGTCTTTTCAATTCATTTGCTTTATTTAATTTTTTCTTCTAAAGTTGGCATAACCTTTTATTGAATCTCTGCCTCCATTGTCTTATCTATTTCACACACACACACACACACACACACACACACACACACACACACATCTTTGAAGACTTTATTTTAATGGTACATAACTTCAGAACCTCTGGGGCTTGCTTTGGTATCCAAATCATCGTAGCTTCCTGAAAACAGAAGAATCCACAGTGGATTCTCTGCAGAGTATCTTTGGGGAAAGATATTACTCATGTATAATTGGATGTCTCAGAAAGTAATCAACTCCATAGAAAGGTGCTTGCCCACCTACGGACCCATAAGACTCCAGTGTACAAGTTTTCTTGAGACTCAAGCCAAACACTCAATGCTTATGTTTCAGATTATACTCTCCCTAAAACTCAGGTAGTTCTTAATGCAGGGTGGTAATATCTGAAAATAGATTTATAGTGGTTAGTGAGAAAAGTAGGGAAAATACCATGTGTGGTTTTTTAATGATGATCGTATGATTGGACTGGATTATACAATTAAGAGTGGCTAAGTCAGTGTGGTTCTTTGTAAAACTTGTTGGTGTAAGGGAATTTTGTCTTTGATTATTAAATAAAGTATAGTCTGTTGCATGGCACAGAGAAGACAGTCAGCAGGTATATAGTTATAGAATGGGATGCACAGGTGGGTGGATGGATGGATGGATGGATGGATGGATGGATAGATGGGTGAATAGATGGATACATGGATGGATGGGTTGGTAAAGGGATGCATGAAAGGGCCTGTTTCCCTTAAGGGGCTCTTTACAAAAAGATTTTGATTCTCAATCTTTCACATGAAAGAGGATCCCAGAGATTCCGATTCACTGTGTCTGGAGAGAAATTTGTCTCTGTATTTTTAAAACAAATTCTCCAGTTTTTATGGTATGAGTAACCTTGGCCTTCTGGATCCTAATTCATCTCTATTTCTACGACATCTTCCATTTTATTGCTAATTCAGAAATCATCATGCACTCATGTTGCCTGCATTCAGGAGGCACTTTTTTCAAATTTATGTCACTGGCAGTTTGGAAGAGATTGGGGGTCTCTGTTGTTGGAGACAGCTCTCCTGTCTCTCATCAGGACCTCCATTCAGGGCACTTCTGAACAAACCTGGATGTGCCTTCTCCCTGAGATCCAATGGGCCAGGCCATAGGGAAGCTTTGGAAAGGGACAGTCTTGGGGTTTGAACAAGAGAGGAGATGTTTGTCTTGTGAGTAGAATGTTCCTTTACAAGGTCACTCACTCTATAGGTGACTCTTTATATAGTATGGTTTGGAGGTGGCATCTTCTTTCTCCATCTCCACGACTGAATCTCATGTCAGAGGGCAGAAATTTGGAGTCAGTGGGGGTACCCATTTTTTTTTCTGGGATAAATCTGATTGTGAAGGAGGAAAGAAAAGGCCCAAGTGTGCTGGGAAAGGACTACTGAGTGGCTGAGGAGTTTGACACATTGGTAATTTCCTCATAGGCCCAGTTTACTCCCAGGGATGACAGTCATTTCCTAAGAAACTGAGATCGCTTCTCATTGCGTTTAAAGGCTTAAGTAATGTATTCTGTCAGACAATTCTCTGAAATGGTTTTCCAAGTGAATGCATCAGAAAGTGCCTAGAAAGAATTCTGGCACAGAGAGAGGAGGGCATTCTGAAATGTGAGCTGCTTGAGAGTCAGAATCTAACTTGAGGTGCATCATGCATATGGTAAGATGCATGCATGTTAGATAGACAGGTCAGGAACTTTTATTTATGTATACACCATGTAATTTATTTATACACCCATATAAAGATAGACAAGATCAAGATAGACGACATTTCCAACACTCAGAAGGCTTACCTGTACCCATTTTCCATCAATAAATCCCACCATCCTCCAGAGCTAGCCCTGTTCTGATTTCCATCACCATAGCTCTCTGTTCTCGAGTTTTTTATAAACAGAGTCATGCAGGGTGCACTCTTCAGTGTCTGGCTGTGTTTGCTCAGCATTATGTCATGGGAGTCACCCATTGTATCCTAGTCTTCTTTATTGCTATGTTCCCAACATTTTATTAAAAGTTGAAAGAATAGTAAACATCCATATAGCCATCACCTAGATTTGACAGTTAACATTTCTTTCTACTTGCATTTTATCCATATATCTATCCCCCTTCCCATCCATCCATCTCATTTTTTATTTATTTCTAAATAAGTTGCACACATCACTCACTTGACTCCTAAACAGGTAAGCAGGTGTGTCATTATTGTATTAAGGAACTAGAGTTTGCTTATGGTTGTTTTGTTAAGGGCATGCTTTTTTTGGTAATAATTAGAGTAATGTAATGATAAAGCTATTAGGAGCCAACAGTTATTGAGTATGGACTTTGTATCAGACATCACACTTTGCACTTGATACATGGGTTGATATTGTTACTTCCATTTTAAGAAACCGAGCCTTGAAGATACTATCAACATGCCTACGTTTACAGAGAAAGCAACCCTGGATTGTGGCTGACTCCAAAGTCAGTTTGCCAGCGTGCAGTTCAAGTGAATGTGAGTTAAAAACTTGGGGTCAGTGCCCATCTCTGCCTCTTACTAGCTGCGTGACTTTCGGCCAGTGAACTAACCTCTCTGCATCTCAGATTTACCCTACAGTAAAACGATGCCATAGAGTTACTGTTGAAGGTCAAATGAGATTTTTAAATGCCTAAGAAAATACCTGCCTCATTGAAATTCACAATCTAACACTTCCAGCTAGAAAATTCTGGGACTGTTAGTCTGTAGAACAAATGATGTTACTCACTCCAGTTTTGTTGTTACTGCTATTGTTTGTTTGGGCTTTGTCCTTGCTGAATTGTGATTTGATTCCATTTAAGCAGCTCTCTCTGCAAACACAGACTCTGCTCCTCTCTATCTCTTCACTCAGTGATGTTATAATATCTAGAGGCTTATTGATTATTTGTTTGATTCTATTGTGGGCACAGGAGCAGTTCTTAGATTAAGACTATTAGATTTTCCCAAACAGTATTGCCGTGGTTTATACAATTGGACAAAACGGGTGATCTAATTTGGACTCAATTTGCTCTAAAGTAGAGCTGGAGGAGGGAGGTGCTGTGATTTGGTTCTGAGCCTGAGAACAAGTAGAAAAAGTTATCTCCAGGTGATATCTGTGTGCCTCATCAATTCCAGATACACTGCGTGAGCAGGACTGAGAATTCAAAGCTTTTTTGCTTGGTTTCATTTCTCGTCCATGAGGTAAAGAGCCTAGCTTTACCTAGCCAACTGCGATATTAAACCCACTGATATCATTTATTTTTCCACGTGAAATATCTCAGAAAAAAAAGTGCCACGTTGAGTTTTCTTGAGATTCTGTGTTAAAAGACTAGAGGTTAAGAGGAGATAACAGATTTGCTCCCAAACAAATCGTTTCCTAATAGCTGCTTTGGGTGGAACCAGATGGAAAACTTTGTTTTTCTTCTTTCACTGTATATCTCCACCCTAGCATCTGAACCCATTTTGATCATACCATCTATAGACATTTCAGGTCTACATTTTACCTTAACATTATAGCAGAGTTCCACGATATCATTGACTCTTCATTAATATAATTTATAATGATGGCTATAAATTTCATTTATTGGCTATTACTGCAGTTTATTCCTCTAGTACTGAAAATTTAGATTGCTTCAAGATTTTCCTTATTATAAATAAGGCTAAAAAAATAGCCTATGAGCAATTTAGACTAATAAATACAATATATAATATTTGACTATTGTATAAGATTAGGTTTCCAGAAGTAGAATTACTGAATAAAAAAAAAAAAAAGTGTACATTTTTAAGGGGCTTACGTACATTTCATAGTTATTTTAAAGGCATATCAATATCATTGAAAATGATAGTTTTGGTTCAAATCCCGAGAGAAAACTCTGGGGAAATTACTTAACCTCTCTGTGCCTCAGTTTCCAAATCTGTGAAATGGGAAAAATATTAATGCCTACTTCATGGAGGTGTTGTGAGGATTGAATGAGTTGATATATATAAAACATGTAGGATGTGTCTAATATGTAGTAGGTTTAGTAAATATTATCTGGTTATTTTTAATATTAATTACTAATATTACCTCAATGGAGGAAGGATCTATGGAATACACAAAAATCACCCGAAGGCTTTCTTTGATCCATTGTTTCAGTGTCTCCCATTCTAGAACTTTTCCTAGTCACTAGCCAGCCCCTGAGGTACCCCATATGTGGTTAGCCTAATTTCCCAAACTTAACCATCTCTCTGAGAAGCCCATCAATACTGATCGGTGTCTGGGAGGGAAGAAGCAAACTCATTGTCCAAATGTGTTCCAAGTGGATGAATCCAGCCCTGAACAATGGGGAGACTTTCGAAGGTAACTGACCACAGGAAATGGCCAAGGCTGGAACCATACCGATTTGGCTGGTGAGGGTTGAATGGGCCTTAGGTTTCCTTTGATTGGACGAAGGACCCTGTGACGGTCAGGAGCTGGCTGCAGGCAAAGGCTCAGAGTTCTGAATCTGTGGGCTCTGTAAATGCAGGAGGGGCAGGATTGGGGACAATGGGAGTGGCTTTGCTTACATGGGCCCCAGTGGAGCATCCTGGGACACAGCAGCAGCAGAAGCAAACAGGAAGTCTTCCCTGGACCCCCTGCCCGCCCAGTCTTGTGTTCTCACTGCTCATGTAGTGCTTAACCCAACAAATTAAAAATGTGATGTGATCTCCATTTCTTCTGAGTTCTCCAAGAGCAAGACTCCTAGCATGTTGCATGGTCTGTAGGAGATGATCCATGTGCATGAGTGGACGGGCGAGTGAATGAATGAATGAATCCATTATTTCCAGAATATCCGGAGACTGCACCCAGACACAACTTGGCCCAATGGGAGGACTGTGACTGCCGATCCCAGGCAGGAAACGTGAGCTCCGAGCCCTGACCATTCTGTAGGGGTGGATAGAAAGTGCCATTGATAATTGTCAGACAGGCCAGGTCCTGCAGTTCTCTGGGGAGTTCTCGCCAACCTCGGGAAATGGGGCAGCAGTTTAACTTATGGATGCAGTGTTGCTTTATTATTAACCGTCACGAGCAGAGAGGCACGAGGATGACTGTGACCATTTTGCTTCACATGTAAACTTTGACCTCAGAGCAAAGGGGCGGCGGGTGCTTTTTCCAAGGACCCTGTTGATGGTGACAATAAGCACGAGGCCCAGCTGCCAAGAAGGCTGATAACGGGAGAGCAGAGCGTGTCTTTTCTTCCTCCTTTTTTTAAACCATGCGCGTTGGTTTTAGGAATCATTAGCATGGTGAAGATTAAAGCTATTGGAGATAGCACAGATTGTTTCATTTTATTATGTTCAATTGGATTGGATCCGAGCCATTTGCAAAGTGCAGTATTACCATAAGAAGGGACTTAGAATGTTTGTCACATAATACCCTTTTATGGAGAAGGCAGTTTCTTAAAATTAAAAAAAAAAAAGACTTGAAATAGCAAGGCTTTCTTCTGCTTTCGAAGTGCAACAAAATAGAACTCTGTATATGCCCAGATGGACTGCATTGGAGCTATAAGAGTGGCCCAACTCTCTGGTTCCAGAGGCCCTTGTCTTTTGCTACTTAATTCAGGGGACAAAGTCAAGAAAGTAAAGCTCAGGACCCCAGTCCTGCCTGTCCAACCAGAGCCATTCCCCTCTTAATAATTGCCTATTGGTCTATGTATACCTTAGACACTGTTCGCTAAAAGGGGGGTTCCTGCTGCTTTAATGACGATAAAAAGATAGTCTGCTAAGAACATTAAAGGAAAGATGCCAGTCACAGAGGACCATGGGATTCCGTTTACACAGAATGTCCTGAAGAGGCAAATCTGTAGAGACAGAACATAGATTTGTGGTTTCCTGGGGCTGAGAGGGCATGGAGGGATTGGGGAGTAACAGCGAAAGGAGGGGGGTTTCTTTTGGAACAATGAAAATGTTCTAACGTTGATGTGGTAAGCATTGTAAAACTGTGACTATACTAGAAACTATTGATCTGTATGTTTTAAATGGGGCACTTGTGTGGTATGTGAACGATATCTCAATAAAGCTGTCATAAGCAGTATGAAAACCGTGATGTAATTCAACCAGTCTGATGCTGGTGTCCTCAATGTCCCTATTTCAGTCCGGACTGGGACAAACACCCAGGTAAGATCTGAGCAGCACACGGTGGAACGCCCTGTCCCCCGCACCCCAAGCATGCTACTTCCATTCATGCCACCTGAAAGCCGCATCGCCACGGTGACTTTCAGTTATACAATGGGACTTACCTCAGCGCTGTTGTAATTTTACTTGAGTCCCTGTCTCTGCCCAATACAGTGCAAACCTCCTTGATGTGAGGGTTTCCAGGTCACGGTGAGCTAGTTTTTGAATAATACAATGACCTCATGCCCAGGAGTGTACTTGTTGTTGAGAACATACAATGAATAAGACACAACTCAGGCTCTAGACAGCTCACAGTTTGGGGGGGAAAACTGGTACTAGTGAAACCAAGGAAGATTTCACCCAAGAGCTTAGGTTTGCTTTAGGGCTTGGATGATGCATAGAAGCTCACCAAACATGGAAGCAGAAGAATAAGCATTCAAACCAGAAGAAACATCATGGGGAAGAGCTAAGAAAAAACATACAGTGTCAGAATCATGAGAAATTTGCTGAGAATTGATTTAAGAACATGATTTAGAAAGATAGTATATTATACCCCATGTCCACAACTTTCATGGAACAGTGTACGCTGCTCTGTCATCCCATATTAGTGGCAACTAAACTTACCTTATGACAAAAGGAAGTATATTGGTTCATATACTAGAGAGTCTTAGAATTGTAGCTTCAGGCATGGCTGTATCCAGGGGCTCAAATACATAATCAAATAATTTGTCTCCTTCCATCTGTGTGGCTTACTTTATACAGCAGGTTTTCTCTGCCTGGTGGGAGAGATGGTTACTACAAGGACCAAAGTTCCATTCTCATATACTATCAGTAATAGCAAGAAGTCTTAGCCTCTCTCCCAGGGAAGATTCCAGTCCAGTATAGGTCACATGCTTTATCTCTGATCCAATAACTATGGTCAAGAGATGGGCTATTTAATTAGCCGACCGAGGTCATGGGTCTACTATTGTGGAAAGGAAATAAAACACTCCAATTGGACCACAGGATCAAATGGAGGAAAGTGTGCTTTTCAGAAGAATAGAAGGGAAAGGAAGGACAAGTGTGCTAATCCCCCATATCCCCTGAGATTTTTTTTAAGTTCAGGCATTAAGCTACAGCTCTGGTGTTTTGTTCTTGTGATGTTGGATTTGAAACCTTAGCTGAGGAATTTACACACACATCTGTTAAATTCCATTTAGGTAAAATACTAACAAGAGAGAAGTAATTCATTTCCCTTCCTTGGACCTCAGTTTCCTCAACAAAATGGAGATAATAGTGTGGACAATGTAGCCTGTTTACAAAGATCCATGGGAAACATCAGGCACGCACTCAGAGAGCACTGCGGTTCTTCCTAGGCCAGGCCAGAGTGTGTCCACCTGCCATTTACACAGGACTTCTTCCTCCACCTCTCATTTTAGCAAACTCTGATCTAACAGAAGGAAAGGATCCCTTTATCCCCAGCAATCTCAGCTCTCTGGGGAGAGAGCAGGTTGTCCTGCTTGTACCAGGGAAGGTGAGCTCAGGGCAGGTCGCAGAGCCACGTCATTTCCAGATGAAACAGGGCTCCCTGGACATCAGCTGCCTTGCGTGGAGGGGCGGTCAGACAAAGAGCCAAATTTAAATTCATGTAATGTTGCTGTTTGTAACAGAGAATACTTAAGACATCTGCTCGGAGCCTCGCATTATAAAGGAATGGAAGGGATCCAGGAGTCCTTTATAAGATGGGGGCTGCTAAGTGAGCGGCACATATTTCAAGGAAGGATCTTAATCAGACGTTATTTATATCTATAATATTTTACAAATTAAAAGCAGCAGAAATAGTCACCGGAAGGATGTCAGCAAGCAGGGCAAAAAAAAAAAAAAAAGAACCTGAAGCCCAGAAGAGAGAGACTGATGATGATGTCTGGGAAAGGAGGGGTGAAAAAGGAGCAAATTTACCGTCATTGGCAGGTGTCAAAATGTTCCGTTTAAATGAAATGGCACGTGCCCTGAAGTAGCGTGGGTGCTGCACAGCCCACCCGTGTTTCTGTTTCGGCCGCCCAGCCTATTTTCTTTCCCGTTCAAGCTCAGCCGTCTCCTCCCCTGCCTCTGGGTCACCGAGGGCTCCTACTTTATTATTTCCTTTTACTTCAGTTCATTATGCTCTGTGATTCAGTGGAAACATAAAAAATGGCTCTTAATTTTAATTAATGGCAAACTTAGAACAGGCCCATTTAATAAATCTGTTCTCTGAGCTTAACAAGTCTCCTCTCCTGTAAGGGCCTCCTGTCATTTCATTAACTCCAGAGACTCCAGACCCCATGACTGTGTCATAGACAAGAGCTGCAGGTACGTCAGGAGACGCGTAATGGACTCACAGGATCCCGTCCCCAGGTCCCACTGAAGAGTTGGTTATTTGTCCTGCAGTTGGGACTCAGCTGTTGTTTCCACTGGGATTAAACAGCTGTCACATTGTTAATGACATCAAATTCACTCATTAAGCCTCTCGTTCCCTTCCCACGGAAAGTGGGGATTCAGAAATCTCTGCCACATCCCCCTTTATGAGGGAGTGAAAGTCCAGGAAAAAAACAACTGTGGCCCTTAAGCCCTTGTGCTGATGGGTTCTTGTGAGGAGTAATTAAGCCGCTTTGTAAAGCGTGTTGTTCTGTTGGCATTTGAGTGCTTACGTCCCATGGTGGGAGTAGCTGGGAAGACTGGGAAGGTGAGAAAGGGAAGAAACCTAGAATTCTTCTAGTCATACCTCCACTTTTTGTTAACAACACAAAACAAAGTTACTAAATAATTAACCAACCAGAAGTGAACTTGTGTGTGTTCTCAAAAGTATACCTGGCCGTTTCTTCAAACCTCTGTAACCAGATGTCTGATCAGTAGGAAGTCCCTGCTCTTTTTTTCTTTTTCCTTTAAAACAAAATATTTTTATTGATTTCAGAGAGGAAGGGAGAGGGAGAGAGAGAGAGAAACATCAGTGATCAGAGAGAATCATTGATCAGCTGCCTTCTGCACACCCCCTACTGGGGATTGAGCTCACAACCCAGGCATGTGGGGAATCGAACCATGACCTCCTGGTCATGGGTCAGTGCTCAACCAGGGACACACACTGGCTGGGCTCCTTTTCCTTTTTTTAAGAGAATTTTTCCTTCCATGTCCATCTCCCAAATTGAAAAACACACTTTATAGGGTTTTATTGTTATTTTGATAGGGATGGTTTTGTTTTCAAAATGAAAGTTTGAATCCAGAGTTTGATTGAGAAATCTGTTCCTCGAGGAAAAAGTAAATGAAAGTCTCTCTCAGCGTCTTTGGCAGCATGGATTCCTAAGAATATAGGGGAGTAAGACATGAAGGTGGGAGCACAGTACAGCACAGGACTCTTGAACTGGGGCCCCCACTTCCGCTGGCAAACACAATAGGGAAAAGGATGGGTGTGTAGGATTTTGTTTGCTGTTTCCTTCACCTTGTTTGTTTCATTACACAATACCAGTCCTAGGATTATTTCAAGATAATTGCACTGTTAGTTCCCTTTCTCCCCCGCCCCTCTAATCCCCTCAGGCAAGATAAAACTCACACAATGTTTATGTCAAATGTTTAACATTATTTTCTAAAACCTTTCACCTTTCTAAAAAACACCTTCAAAAAGTGTCCTCTCCCCACTTCTGTGGCTGAAAGTGCAGGGTGATTTCACACATCAAACACAGCAGGACAACTCCCCCTGGTTAATACCAGCCTCCAGGGAGAAGGGAAAGAATGCAAGAAACCCAGAGCAGAGGGATGCTGGGTGGGCGGGAGGGGCGATATGCTCATCAGAGGACCGATTCTTTTGGATCCCTGTTAGAGAAAAACCATGTCTAAGGAGCCCACAGGAGCAGGAAAGCCACGGGCAGTTCAATAAATAACCACCTTCCAGTCCAGATAATGAAATACGGGAGTTTTATGTGTCACATCAATAAACATCTTAATTGAACAGCACATGGCTTCTCCCCTAACACATGCCTCAGACTGCACTCGCTTTCCCGAGTCTAAGTAACTGGGGAAGTCACTCAGACTCAACCTCTACAGCGAAATGGGACTCTAGTGTCCAGAACCAGGCCCAGGGGTGATGCGATACATTCATCTTAGTTAAGATTATCAACCAAAATAAGCCATATATTACTTTTTAGTGTATCATATGATGCACAAGGAATTGCTTTAGGGTTTTGTTTTGGTTTGGTTTTGATTTAGCAAAAGCCTAATATCACTGACTCATAGGAAACGTTACCCGCTGGAAATTCCTCAGCCCCACTAGCTAATGTTCTTCGCCGTTACTCCTTGGTCAAGCCCCAAGACCCACCCTCAGTCTCTGGTGTTGGGTCCCTCGGCTCTCCACCCTCCAGAATGGGATGTTCAGGGTGTAACCTCCCAACGCCTGCAATCCAGGCGGGGAAGCAGAGGCAATTTATTAGCCCAGCTTCCTGTCCACAGGAGGCCCGGGGAGGCCTTGAATTTCGCAGCTGCAAGTCAAATTCCACCAGCGCAGTCGTGGAATTTAATGAGGCCTCTCTGGACACAAAGAGAGATGGACATTTCTAGGCTTGCTGGCTGGGCTCCCAAGCCTCCTCCTCTCTCCTGATGAGACCTTCATCAAAAGGCCCAGGATGTTGTCATGGCTGGGTCTGTCCTTTTGTTTATTATTCTACATGCAACTCTAGACCTGCTTGGCCCTCAGAATTTATTGCTGCCAGTAAAAGGGCCCCCTCCAAAAACAAAAAGACAACAAAAACGGTTAAGCTTTATGGTATAGTTATCCTTTAGCGAGCACGCGTAAGACTGACCTCATCTGATTCAGGAGTTCCCAACTGGGGCCAATTGTGCCCCCGGGGACCTCAGGCGGTGCTGGGAACATGGCTGGTTGTCACAGCTCTGGCGGAAGGGCAGGAGGAGAGGCCAGGGCTGCTGCTAAGCACCCTGCAATGTGCAGGACAGCTCTTGGCACCAAGAATGATCCAGGCCCAGATGTGGACAGTCCTGAGGATGCGAAACCCTGGCGTGCTTCTCAATCCTTTATTTTATTATTGCCTCCCAGCCCCAGGAGCCTTTTCAGATGATTTTCCTGAAATTTTAATGCCACAGATCTATTGCATATCTGTTTTCATACTGTCTGCATATCTGTGCTTTACACAGTAAAAGGGGAACCATTTTTACTCTCCCACCTTCTCCACCCCCAGGACCAGTGTTCACCCCCCCACCTCCCCAAAGGAGTCACTTCCCCCACTGGTAGCTCTGAGCCATAGGCAGTTTTTGAGCAAGGGAATGTAGTGAGGGGATTCATCTTTTATTTTTATTTATGTTTTAAATTAATTTTGGGGGGGGGTGACATTGGTTAATAAGATTATGTAGGTGACAAGTGTACCTGACAGCCATGTGGTAAGCCCGGGGCTCCTAGCTCTGTAAGGTCCCTCTTCCAGCTGTGTCAGCAGCCACAGCCGTCAGCCGCTCCCCCACCCGGTGCCCTGCCACCCTTGCTCACTTGATATCCTCCTGCCTTTTTAGCTGCCAATTCTCGGGAACCTTTGTGATACCGCTCTCTGGAGATGCCACTTCCTTTCAGTGGTGCATCTAGTCAGCTCCCCTGCGCTGGGCTCCAGCAACATTAAGGGATGCTGTTCCACCTGAGTATACATTTCAAGACTGTGTCTTCCTTGCCCATCGTTGGGTGGCCTGCACAGTTCCTGGCCCGGAGTGAATGTGTGAGTGAACGAATAAACAACTGAATGAATAAGGGCTTTTCTCTTTGCAAAGCTCCCTGCACATTTTAATCTAGCCAGCATCTTGCAAAACACACCTACTTCTTTCTGATCTTCATTTTTAGGTAGTTTTGAAATGAGAACCAAATGAGGCTGCTTTTGCTCTCGACACGCCAGGTCTTCACACACTCCCAGCACCCAGGGCTGTGTGGCCAGTCTCAGATCCGGAGCAGGTGATGTGCGTGGGCCTGTGACTAACAGAGCCACACGACGCAGGAGGGAGGCAGCCTGGAAAGCCAACAGAGGCAAGTAATTTCTGAAGAAGGGACCCAGGAGGCGGAGAATGGGTGGCTGATGCGGAACAAAGAGCCTGGTCCCTTCCCTGCAGTTCCACCTCAGTCTCAGGGATGCAGCCAGGATCCCTGAGACCAAGGATCGAGGTCGGATCCCCAACTTGTGAGGGCCGTGGCCTCAGCATCACCAGGCCTTAACGCTCAACCCATCAGCTGGCTCAGAGTGCGGCTCTGAGATAAAATAGCACCAAGAGACAACGCCAGGGCATTCGGCGGCTCCGAAGCTATTGCTCCTCTCTTGCCATACCCGGTCTCTGTACGGCAACTTCTGCTTCAAATACTGTTCATAAGGCCAATGTTAGTGCTGCCATTGACAGTGTCTCCTTAACGCCTGGGTCAGAGGTCAACGTGCAGGCCAGAGAGCTGAGGTCTCCTGAGTATGAGCCCCCGAGCCCCGCCCTATGCCGTCCCCTTTGTATTCAGCCCACCCAAAGGGGAGTCTCTGGCCCAGCCTCCACGCCCTCTGTTTTGTGTGATTTGCTCTGTTGGATGAGCACACCAGCTCCCCAGAGGAGTTCCTCGGGTCTGGGAGGATGGGAGTTTCTGGAAGCTCCCGCACACATCCACCCGCAATGCCTGTGGTGCCCTCAGGCACTCTCCCAAGAGCGGCTGCATCCTCCTCGTTGCCCTGTAAGTGGTATGTCAGGTGCCCATCCATCTTTGAGTCGAGAGGTTGTTTTGAACGACTCCTTTCAGCAGAAATTCCTCAGAGTGGTGGGGGCTCAGCGGGGAGGAGGGGAAGGGTGGCGTTTGTCAGAAAGGCACGGGCCTCTGACTCCAGAGTCCTGGAGGGATCTCAGAGGCCGGGATATCCTCCAGGTAATATTTATTTACCTGATTTGTTAGGACCACAAAAGTGCTTAGGGTGGTCCTCTTCCTGCCCCCCAAACCAACCAGACTCCAGAAGCCCAAGGAGATTAGTTATGAGCCTGTCCCTCACTTTCTTCCTCCCTGAAAACCCACCAGGGACCTCCTCTCCACACAGGTCCTCATTTGGGGGAATTTTTCATTCCTTTTTTTTTTTTTTTCCTGAGAGGCTTAATGTACACTTTTCATATAAACAAGAGAGGTAAGAGGGAGGGAGCAGAAGAAGGAAATGGTGAAAACTGAGCTGAGGGAAATGCCCAGAGGAAGGAAAATTCCAACAGAGGGCAAGGCAGGTCAGCGCAGCGCAGGCTGCTGGGTCTCCGGGTGGTGCCTGAGTCCCTGGCTGCCCTGCAGGACCCCCTTCTTATCCCCGTGACAGACACACATGGTTCCTTCTGGATGAGTTCTTTCTGGACAGCAACAGCAGACACACATGCACACATGCAAGAAAACTTCAGGGACATTTTTTTTCTTTCTCTTGCCCCCTCTCTCCCCAATTTAATTGAGGTGAAATTCATATAACATAAAATTAACCATTTTAAAGCCAACAATTCAATGTCATTTAGTACATTCACAACTGTATGCAACTACCACTTCTGTCTAGTTCCAAAATATATTATCCCCTCACAATAAAACCCTGTATCCACTAAGCATTATTCCCTATTCTCCTCTCCTCCCAGCCCTTGGAGGCCACCGAAGTGCTTTCTGTCTCTATGAACTTGCCTACTCTGTATCTTTTACATAAAAGGAATCATACAATACGGGACCATTGTGTCTCTCTTCTCTCATTTAGCATGTTTTCAAGGTTCATCAAGGTTATAGCATGTATCCCTGCTTCCTTCCTTTTTGTGGCTGCATAATATTCCATTGTGTTTTCATAGCACATTTTGTTTATCTGTTCTTCCGTAGGTGGATACTTATATTGTTTCCACAGTTTGGTGGTTGTGTATAGTGCTGCTATGAACAAGAATTTGCTTGAGCACCTGTGTTCAATTCTTTTGGCTATAGACCTAGGAGTGGCATACATCCAATGCTGTGTCACGTGGTAATCCTGTCTTAGCTCTTTGAGGAACCATCAGACTGTTTTCCACAGCAGCTGCACCATTTTACATTCCCACCAGCAATGCACAAGGGTTCCAGTTTCTCCACATCCTTGCCAGCGCTTGTTTTTTTCTTAGGTACATTTTGATCTCCTTTGTACCTTCTCTCTCCCTACATCTTCAAGCTGATGGACTGAGATCAGGATGTAAGGGTCTGCTTGCACCTTCATTCGCGTCTGCTCAGAACTCCTGTCTCGTATCTTTCCTCTAGAATGCTGCTCAGGCTCATTTTGTTGTATGTTACATGCATTATGGGTTGTCTCACAATAATTAAAAGGGGAATCCATATCATAGAACATGTGAAAACACAGCAGAAAACACACACAGAGATTTTTTAAAAAGAAAAGCCGTCCCTGGTTCCATCACCCAGACATAAGCTCTGTATTTTAGTTTATTTCCTTCTAGTCTTTTTTCTCCCCTTGTATCATATTAGTTAGGAATTGGTTTGACTCTAAGTAAAAACTGCTACAATGACGACCATCAACAACAAGATGGGAGTGTGCTTCTGTCTCAGGGCAGGTGAGCTCCTTCCTGGAGTTGCTCTGATGCTGTGGCCACTTTGTGGTGGACAGGGCCCCTTCCTGCCAGCTTTTGCTCAGGAATGGATTAGAGGAAGGTGAAAAGACCCCAGAATCAGGAGGAGCTGGCTGAGGCTGTAGGGGTTGCACGAAGGTTCCAACCAGCCCTGCAATAGAGATGTGCCAAATGGAGCTCCTATAATTAGGGTGAGGGGATCCCATTCCGCAGATGACTCAGGTGCATCGAACACAGGTGTTGAAGAATTGGGACAGTCCCAGGCGGACCATGGCTTCTGGATGACGGCATTGGTGACTTTGCCTTCATCCAAAAGATGTGATTGATGACTGGAGAAAGGGCAGTGGGATAAGTCAACACAGGCCACCCTGTCCTCAGACTCCCACCCCAATCCATGCGGAACTATAATTATCCTCCCGCTTTACCACCATCTAGTTTGTCAGTCTTCATCATGAAGTCCGTCACGTTAGGTCCATGTTACAGATGGAGAAACTGAGGCAGAGGTTGACAAACACAACTCATTTCCTTTAGCATTTCCATTACTTTGTTTGACTTAAACACTTTCGTGGCTAATTTTATTCCAACAGTGTCCCTAGAATCATTTTAGTTCTCTTGGCTGTAACCAAATCTGCACAATGCCACTTGAATTGGCAAGATCTGAGTCAAACCTCAATTTTCACAATTAATTGTGCTGCAGTTAATTAAATTGATCGCCTGGCAATCCAGCCTCAATTAAAATACTAATAGTTTATTTATTTATTTCATCATTTACGAAGCGTTTTTAACCTGCGCCATCTCACAGGATCCTATTTGGATACCCTGATGATGGGGATAACAATGTGTCTAATTATCCCATAGGTAGAGTTGTGGGAACCACACATGACATTTCAAATCAGGATCAGAATTTTGACCTTGAAAGTAGGACCAGATCTACTTACTCAGCTCAGTTCTCCTAAGGAGACAGAGGTCTTGGTTTAGCTGCTAAACGTGTTGTCTTTTAAATAAGTATTTTGCGGAAGAGTTTATTGTCATCAAGAAAAGAAAAAGTAGGAGAGTACTACCTTGAAAGTCCTCCTTAGTTTTAAAAGGATTGAGTTCACTGCACAATGGGAAGGGTCATGTTATGTCATGTTTTTGGAAATGTCGCAGTAGGGTTATATAAGGTCCCAGGACTGGTCCCACTTTCTGCTTCTTGATTTGTGTGTAGATCTGTGGACAGGAGCTATTTGCTCCCTGGTCATGGGTATTTTTGTCTGTAATGCAAGAGTGCGCTCCAGAGTCCTCCAGCCTCATGAAAGCTGTTCCCGTGGACTTACATGGCTTGGTGCTGAGCCCCCCTTCTAACGGGCAGAACCCTGTGCCACTGGGCTTTCCTGAAATCTGCATGGGGTCTACATGGCGTCCTGAGTGTGTGAGCCCTCGGGAATGGCTTTCCCCACACCTCCCAGCGCTGTTCCCTCATTCCTCCTTTAGGATTTCTCTGTGCGTGCTACTGCTGAGCCATTTCGTGATCTCTACGTGAAGATCCAAAATCGCCAAAGGGAAGAAATTCCAGTGGGGTCTTCCAAGCAGAGTGGAGGGAGCAGAGACAAAGCAGGGAGATGTCTATGCAGCACCCACCGCGTTCAGGATGGTTTTCATCCTGAACATCATTCAAGTCCAAAACAGCCCGAGGGGTAGCTAGAACCGGCTATTTCTATGTTGAAGAGCAAGGAATGAAGTAATTTCCCTGGACTGCACTGAAGATAGTTTGATTTCAAAGTCCTTGCTCTGCCCATTATGCCACATGCCACCTCACCGTTAAATGGCTCCTTCAGACATCCATGGACTTCAACCCTGCAGCCCTCTGCTCTGCTGAAAACACCCTCATAGGACAGTGAGAGCCCCAGCTTTTGATAAGGGGCATCTCAGATCCAGCATCTCTTGCTGACGGGCGCTGGACCTATGGTGGGTAACACATGTCCTCTTACAGGACCTGGCCCCCTATAGGTGATGCCAGGCCACGGCTAAGTTCTGTGGGGTTTGAGTTCCTTCTCCTTCATTGCTCCGAGGAGAAAAAACAAAACAAAAGATCAGCCCTGATGGTGCAGTGCGTCCGCCTGAGAAATAGGAATGTGAATTTGCATTCCTTCCAACTGTGTGTTTGCAAAATATAGACAGGCAAGTTTGAATCACTTTGACTTTGAAAGCATGATCTTGAGCAATTATCTGGGGGGAAAAATATCTCCTCCTCACTAAATAGGTCTGTCAAAAAGAGTCAGAGTACAGCGAGCCATTGCTGGAATACACGGGTGTGCTGGTAAACCGGCCCCAACCAATTAAATAGCGAAATGTCGACTGCATTCAGGCCCTTCCCGGCCCACAGACAGGCTTGTGTAAGTTCATTTTCATCGTAGTGTGTATGTATCTTTAGACCTGAACTGACAGATTCCCACAGTGAACCGG